AAACTCTCCCCTCCCCTCAATTGACGAAATGAACCGCGCCACAGATAAGCACCACGAGACAATATGTAAGCTTGCCAATAGAGGCAGCGTGGTTCCCGGTTGGCTGCGACAGTCTGACTGGCTTGCGTGGGCTGACAAGGCAGCTGGGTCACACGTGTATGAACATCTCGGGTGGGGATTGAAAGGATGGAAGCTGTGGTGGAATGATCGCGCGCTGTATAGGATGTTGATGGATGGGATCTTTACGCCGTTTGTGTGGAGGGTTTTTGACGGGGAGGGCAAGCGGAAGAAGTGGGATGGGGCGAGGGAGGCGATTGAGAAGGTTAACGCTGAGTTGGCGGCTGCAAAGGCGAGGAATAAGAACAAGAAGAGTCGGTAGATAGTCAGGCGTTGCAGCGATAGATAGGGTTGAGCGGGCTGCAGTAGAAGTTTGACGAATATGGTGGAGCGGAAGCCAAGAAGCTAAGATCTGACGAGATAATTTAAGCATAACAATGGAGATCCTACCAGGTTTGTTCTTATCCGAACCGGGCGCTGAATGGTTCCGTTTCTGCTGCATTTGTCATGCCTGCGGGCTTTTTGTTACACCGTCTTGGCGAGAAGCCGTGCATGTCCAACAGACCAGTCGTAGGTTGCAGGGTTGAAGATAATCGTCCTCATTGAACCGACCCTGGGTGCATCTTACTCAGATATGGAAGGAGGTTAAGCCGAAAAACGTTATGCCAACGTTATGCACAATGTTACGGATGCAGATCATCCTGCGCGACCTACTCTGTGTGATGCGATTGAGGGTGAAGCTTGAGTATAAATGACAGAGTAAGACGTGATGAATTGAGCACATAATTCACTCCAATTGTATTGTGCAACACGTGGTTTATCTGTCTCATATAAGCCGGAAAGATGTCGCAACTCAAGAATTACACTTACGAAGGCGTCGGCGAGTTTCTCACCAACTTCCTCAACTATGCCCAAGCTGTCCGTGTCGGCGATCAACTCCAGCTCAGTGGTCAAGGTAAACCCCACGCCGCTTAAATTCTCATCCCCAAAGACTGACATACGATCTCAGGCGGCTGCTTCATTAAAGACGGTGGCCTCGTCTTCGCAGAGACTCAACTTGAGCAAATTGACCTGGCTTTCGAGAATGTGGACAAGGCGCTAAAGGCAGCTGGTGGAAAGGGCTGGGAGCAGGTCTTCAGAGTGAACTCGTACCACACAGAAATCACACCAGAAGTCGGACAGAGAATGGCGGAGAATTACAAGAAGTGGATGCCGAATCATAAGGTCATTTGGACGCAGATTGGAGTGAGGCAACTTGGTGTTCCGACGATGTACTGTGAGATTGAAGTGTCAGCATATGATCCGGAGGGGGCAAACAAGGAATAAGCTTCAAAGATGGACAAATACACTTCAGATTAAACAGACTACATGAGAAAACAAATTTACTGAGTTATAAATATCAATGGACCGTTCGGTCAATTTTGTTAAACCAATGATTAGCGATAGGACACGCTTTTCCTGCCATCGACTTTGTTCATGCTCCTTTAGGGTAACGCAAACATCAGTGACGCAGCATGCTGACTAACGACTCCGAGATCGCCACTGCCTCGTTTAGGTTTAGCGCGGGTCAATCATTCGCGCACGAAGGATCTTTTTTTCTTTGCGACATCATCGTTTCATCCACCGCACAAAGCACATCTGCATCCCCAACCACACAAAATGCCTCCGCGCAACAACAGGCCGCGCAACTCGCGTCCCGACTCGCGCCCAAGAAATGACCGTCCTCTGCGCCCCGATGCCGACAGCTATCGACCTGGTGACAGGTACGACTTGCCTCCTCGACCGCCCCGCGATAATTATGGCCACTCCGATTCATACCGCCCGCGCGTGCCGCAGGGCGACTTTACCTTTCGCGTAGACAAGCCGGCTGGCATGCCTGATTTCCCGGCTGATTACCGTGGGCCGTCTGATAGGAGAGGGCCGCGTCGCGATGGTGGTCGTGGTGGCCGAGGTCGGGGCAGAGGAGGAAGGAAATGGCAACCTCCGCCTCATCCGTCTGAACGCGCTCTGGTATCTGGAGCGACTGCGAACATGCCCGAGGAACGACTTGGTGAAGAAGGCGCTGCCAAATTCCGCGATGTTGATGAGCTATCAGACGACGACGAGCTGGAAATGGACATCTCTTCATCCTCCGAGACAGAAGGACCTTCCAAGAAACGTGCCAAAACAGGAGACGATGGATCCGGCGATGCTGCACCTAAGTGGTCAAATCCCGATCCCTACACTGCCCTCCCATGCCCCGACGAGAGCACCCGCAAGAAGCGGGATATGGTCAAGCTGATCCGAAAAGCGCGCCTGGAAGACCAGTCAGAGAAACTGGCTGCTTCAACTGAAGCCGAGGACTTTATCTCGTTTGACCTGACAGAAGACGAAGAAAGCAGTGAAGAAGAAGAGGAAGCACCACCGCCTCCCCCGCGTGAACCTCCCCCGCCACCGCCTCCGAACGCGCCCTCCGGACCGAAAGCTGAGACTGCGCGTCTGCCCGAGAAACCACGTGCGCCCGCTAATGGAACTTTGGATACGTCGCGAAGAAATGATCCGCTGGGATCTCGTAAGCGAACTGCGGATGATGAGATCAAGCCTCCTGATTATGGACAATTGAAGAAGGCTACGACGAAGCCTTCGAAGGGTTCGCTTTTGCCCAGTTGGCAGCCGAAGACAACAGAGGACCCTTGTCCTTGGGATACTGTCGATCACTCTGCTACCATGAACATGCCATTCCGGTAAGTTGAATCGCCCTTTCTATCGCCTCAGTCGTCATGGACCCGCACTGCTGGCCAAGCTTTCTCCCCGCTCCTGTACTTGGACTAACGTATACAGATTACACAAAGAGATCATCGACTTCTACGAATACGTCCGACCCCGCGATTTCGAACAGCGAATCCGCGACAACCTCGTCGAGAACCTCCGAAAGGCCATGCGACGCGACGGGAGGAACTTTGCGAGCGCATCGGTCCACCCCTTCGGTTCCTTCATGTCAGGCCTTTACCTCCCCACCGCAGACATGGATCTGGTGGTCTGTTCCGCAAGCTTCATGCGAGGCGGTCCACCAACGTACCTGTCGGCAAAGAGCTGGCTGTACAAGTTCCAGAAGTTCCTCACCAGTCAACACGTAGCTGATCAACACTCCATCGAGGTTATTGCCCACGCTAGAGTCCCGTTGGTCAAATACGTTGACAAGCAGACTGGTCTAAAGGTCGATGTGTCATTTGAGAACTTGGGTGGTGTCAACGCTGTCGACACGTTTCTTGAGTGGAAGGCCCAATATCCTGCCATGCCTATCCTGGTAACTGTGATCAAACATTTCCTGCTCATGCGTGGTCTGAATGAACCTGTAAATGGAGGAATTGGTGGTTTCACAGTGATTTGCTTGGTTGTCAGCATGTTGCAGCTTATGCCACAGGTACAAAGTCGAAACCTCATCCCCGAGCATCATCTCGGCGAGATGCTTCTTGAGTTCTTCCACCTCTACGGGCGCGAGTTCCGCCACGACACCAACGCCATCTCCCTGACCAGACCAATTGGGTACATCCGAAAGGTACGTCTTGCACCCCTCCCTGCTCTTCTATTCTTTACTGACAATCCCAGTCCGAGGTCCGAAGCCTCACGTACAAGAACTACGACCGCCTCTCCATCATCGACCCCAATAACTCGGGCAACGACATCTCCGGCGGTTCATCCAACACCGTAGCAATCCTCGACCGCTTCAAAGGAGCCTTCCAACTCCTACGTGACAGGATGGATGAGATTGCCCGTGATCCCAACAAAGGCAACATTCTTGAAGTGATTCTCAAAGGCGACTACTCCTCTTTTAGAATGCAGCGAGATTTCCTCCGCCACGTACATGAGAAGCACATCGGACCTTGTTCTTCCTGATCCTACATTCCCTGAACACGATCAAAAAGCCCATATTGATACCCCCTAACCGGTGTTGTGCATATTATTTGATGCTGGAGTTTTTTGTGTTCTTTTGCCGGCTATGGATATTTAGACGGGGTGGCTTGGAAGACGTCATGATCTTCGCATTTTTTTTTTCTGTTATTCACATTGCATTGTGTATAGTAACGCCGTGATGAAGAGGGGACGGGATGTTTTTTGGGGGGACTGGCGCAGATTATATTTCCACTGAGAGGCGCTCACGCATCGGCCTAGTGGCCCAGAATTGGACGACGATATTTATTCACCACGACTCGAACTTGATCTACTAACCGATGCAGTGACTTGGCTACTAACATTGACGCAGTGACATGACACACCACTACGCTGACGATACTTGCAGACTTTGTTCTTGAGAGAGTGCGGAATGCACTCGACGTCCTTTCTTCGGTTTATAGCTGTTGAAAAACTCGTTGTTTCTTGGACAACACTTTTTCTCACTGCTTCTCTGCTATATGCAGGGCTGTGGAGAGGATTGAAGATGGTGATGGTGTTGAAGCTGAGATCTGGTGGACGTGAAGGTGTCGAAGGAGAATGAGGGACGGTACCGTCGCTGGGGTCGACTCGGTTGAGGTTGCAATATCAGGACGAGGGCGACGAGTATTTTGCCCGTATTGTTTTTTTCTCGTGTTCTTTTACCTTCGTGGCCTGGAGGCTGAAGCCTCTTTTGATCCCTCAACCTAATCACACAGCAATATCAGGACATGGCAGATAGGACTCTGTCCAATACACAGCAGAGGGAAAGGGAACGTCCAACCTTAGATACAACTGATTCATTTTCTTATTTAGATAGGTATCCAGAGTTTTGTTGTCCAAAGCGCAGTAGATCTCAGATGCAGATCCATGCAGCTGTTTAATTAACAGGCAGGGGACTATCGACAGTGGCGTCGCCTTAGCCTCAGACTATTGACTCTAGCTCAGGGCATCAGCGTTCTTAAATCTGAATCTCCCCTGATTGATCCCCATTTCTTTCCTTCCTCACCTCTTTAGTTTCCGTGCATCTCAAAATGCCTTCGACAAAGTCCATCGCCGTCGTCGCGACCCTCGCAGCAGGCGTCGCCGCAAGCAACTGCAAACCATCAAAACCCACCACCACCACCTCTGCTCCCACCACAACATCATCATGCCCCGCCTACACGCTCATCTCAGAGCCAACCGAGGACATCAACTGCAACGTACGCGGTGAACCCAAAGAGGGGCAAAACCAGGTTCTGGAGAGTTTATACCTGGACGATTGCGCGCAGAAATGTAAAGAGTTTGATCTTTTCAACTGCGAGCTTATTAGCTTTGAGGAGCCGGCTTCGCCAGAGGAGCAGGGAAGTTGTACGCTGTATCCGGATACTGAGATTGTGGAGAGGCCGAGGGGGGGAGAGGTTGTTTATTATGATTCGAGGTGTTTTGCATGTTATACGAGGGGAGGAAGGGGAGGAGGGAGGAAGTTTAGGGGGAGGATTAGGAGGAGTTAGATGTTTTTCGTGATGGATTTATGGTGAATGTTGTGCTTTTTGGTTGTGGTTGAGGTTGCGCTATTGGCTTTTCGGGAGGTCATTTTTCATGAGGTTGGCTTATGGTGAGTGAATTCGACTTGTTGCGGTTCATCCAAGACTCATTAGTGTAGATAATGTGTTTTACTTAGGTACCTATTCGCATGAATCTTATCAGATAAGAACATCTCGATCTTGGCATTGTCTAAAAACAGTAAGCGACCGATCGGCCGTGAACCTTGATGGAACCTCCACTGGAGAAGAATTGGTCCAATAGAACTGGCGACATTATTAAGGTTAATTTTGAACCCGCTACACATTTCGGTTTTTCTCTCGTTCATTGGCAATTTCCAAAATCACGAGAAGTGAGTCTTAGCAACGTTGACTCAGGGATACTGTGGCTAATCGGTGGCTTTAGTGTTTGACTACCTCTGGGGCGATACGAGTAAAGAGGAGAAGAGGCTGATACGAAAACTTGGTGAGTGACTCCAACCTTTCGACGGGACACAACTAAAACTCAGCAGATTTCTTTATTCTTGTAGGTCACTCATCTCTTAAGCTCATGTTTGCTTCTAACGGAACGAGACTTTCTGTTGCTTCAGCTTCTTTTTCAATCATCTTGGTACGTCTCCTCATTGTAGCATCCATGACGTTCTTCTGACGTGGGAGTCACAGACAGACAAGCCTTTGCGAATGCATATGTGAGCCCTCCAAAGAAACCTGTGCAATGACTCTGACTGAAGGTGCAATAGGTAGCCGGTCTTAAAGAAGCCCTCGAGCTGAGTGGTAACCAGTACAATGTTCTCCTCTCGATGGCATCAGCAGGGTACGAACTCGCCCAAACCTCAGCCCAGGACCAACTGACAGATTTTGCAGCATGCTGGTCGGCCAAATACCCAGCAGTATAATCATCCATAAGATACGCCCTCGAATCTGGATGTCTTCTATGGTCGTCGTATGGGCAGGCCTCACCATGGCCAGTGCAGCTTGCAAGACATATGCTCAACTCTGCGCCGTGCGCTTCCTGATGGGCCTCGCTGAAGCAAGTACTTATGCTGGCTCAATTTACATCATGGGATCTTGGTAGTAAGTCTCACAACTCACAAGTTCACGAGCAAAGCTGACAATCTGACAGTAAATCCAACGAAATCGCCAAACGCACCGCCATGTTCACGGTCGCTGGTCAAGTTGGCAAAATGTTCGCCGGAGCTATGATGGCTGCCATTCACGAGTCAATGGAAGGTCATGCCGGGCTCGAGGGCTGGCAGTGGGTGTTTTTGATCGACGGGATTATTACACTGCCTGTTGCTATCTTTGGATTCCTCTTCTTTCCGGATGTACCTGAGTACACGGACGCTTCATATCTGAGTGATAAGGAACGACAGCTTGCGCTTGATCGACTACCGCCTAAGAAGGAAGACGGTCATGATATACAGGCGTGGAGTCTTGTGAAGAGGGTCATGGGACATCCTTTGCTGTGAGTAATCTTCATTCTTTGATCTGACCACTTACTAATGACGTGGACAGTTATGTCTGCTGCGTCTTCTCGGTCCTCGGTTCCGCACTTCAGTCCTACGTGGTGCAGGGGCTCATGCTTTTGTACCTCAAGTTCCGCAAGGATATTGATGGTTTCACCCAGTCTGAAGTCAACACGCTCCCCATCCCAACTCACGCCGTCGGTATTGTCGCTGAGCTTTCTGTTTCATTCTTCATGGATCGTTATAACCGGAGGATGTCGCTTGGCTTTCTGCTTTGCTCGATCCAGATAACTTGCAGCATTGTACTGCTGGTTCCAGGAATGTCAGTTGCGGGCAATCTCACCGCACTTTACCTCTCAGCCTCAGCATACGGGATCAATCCTCTGTTGTATGGGTGGTCAAGCAACATCTTAGCCCGGACAGCAGACGATGCCGCTCGAAGTGTGACTCTGGCTTCAATGGCGGCAAGTGATGGATTACTGTGGACATTCTGGGGCATCGTCATGTTCCCAGCGGATCATGCACCTTACTGGCGAAATGGGTACATCGGGATGCTGTGTGTTAGTGCTGCCATGGTTGGCTGGCTATTTGTTGTTCGCTGGGTAAGTTTGTCCCCATTACTATCATGCGTGGTCTGATGATATCTAGCTCGATCGTTACACCGCAGAAAAGTATCCTGCTGGAGATCATACAAGCGCCTCGTCTCTGGTAGTGACGGAGGTGAACTACTCCACAATGGATCAAAATAAGGCAGTTTGAGGCTTCACGGAAGAAAGTGTTTGTCTCGAAAGAGTTTTGACATGGTCTAGGAAAAGAGGCAATCTAGCTCGGACACCATGAATACAACACCGTTTTCCCTCCAACAACCTGGGCTACTGCCATGCCCTTTTGTGCTCATGTCTCAAAATGGAGGAAGAAACGAAACTGCCCTCTTACGATCCGTCCCTCAAGTTTCCATCACTGCAATCCATCCTTCTCAAAATAGAGTGAGCTTCTTCTCGAGTTCTTCGGCAATCTCCCAAGAGAGCTGGAAAGGAGTCTTGGGTCCTTCAGGATTCAGGATCCCGATTTTGTTGCGCTTCTTCAACGGAGAACGACGCATCTTGCATGACTTACAGAGACGCATTACAGCAGTGTTCTTGGCCTTGCAGGCCTTGCAAACCCACGCGCGGAGGATCTCTTTTGTTTCAACATCAAGGATGGGAATGCCTCCAACATTACGCTCAGGTCGACCTTTGAGCTGAGCCATGGATTTCAGATCAGAGAAGTTTCCAGAGATAGTAGTTGGTCCCTCGTCAAGCGAAAAGAATGGGTGACCAGCTTTGGCGTACGTAGCGGCTGAGATAGGGCTCTCCGGGGGTTCCTGGCCCGTGACTCGCTTAAAGCTGACACTGTTTAGGATCTGCACATTTATTGTGATTTGGGATGTCTTTTTGTATTCGCCCTTAGGCTGCTCGACGATGTTTTGACGGATGAGACCGCCAGCGGCGATGTTCATCTCTTGCTCTTCAATCATCGAGCTACCACCACGAAGACGGGCAAAAAGATGAAGAAGTGCTCCCTAAGGTTCATATTCAGGTTAGCATCGAAAAGACGCCTTGATCTGGCAAGATGATGATTCCAACATACGTTCTTAAGATTGTAGTCACACAATCTCAGCTTGTCTGCGAGATAGTTAACTGACTGGAGTCTTGAATTGATGAAAAGAATAGTGCATACTTTTGAGGTTTTGTGATGCCCAGACCAAGGTTTGGCACGCAACATCGACGCCAACCTTTGCTTTGACGAACGACTTCAGTGTTTCGACCCTACTGAAACGCGAGAGAAAGTAGTTGGATATTTTGCCGTCGAGCTCTTTGACCATGACGTTTATGTTGTCTTTGGGACCAGAGAGGAGAGGATCGAGGCGCGTGATGTCAAACTGAATACCTGCGGAGGTCTCTTCACCATTCATCTGGTACTCGACAGAAGTACCAGTCCCAATCGGCATGGCCACGAATTGTTTGACTTGGCCGGGCGCGGTAGCTACGCCATCAATCCACTTCTGATCGGGAACAACAATGTAGTCCTGGATACTCTTGTCTTTCTTCAAGAGCTGGCGCCGACGAAGCTCGGTCGCATGATTTGGAACGTTGGGCTCACCAGAGACGATATTGACGTTTCCGACGTGGATCCTGATGGCGTAGGTCTTGGTACTCTCAAAGTCGATCCATAAAGCCTCGCGTTCTGTTACAAGAAATGTCAGTGTTGTTCAATGAGAAGAGCCCCGGAGTACTTACGATACATGGGGATGAACATGCCGCCTTTCTGTGCCATTGATAGAGGAAGCGTTCTAGCATAGTCTTGGATCTTGAATAGTGGAAAAGCGCCCTGATCCGGTGGGAGGCCGCTGGTGTTTTTGTTGTCAGGGACGCGGATTGTGCGCCTGAAGGTGATAGTCAAGTCATCGAGTGTGACGCCTTCCGACACAGTAACTTTCGGAGTCCACGGGGTCAGTTCTTCAATCATCTTGTCTGCTGCCCTGTCGGAGGATGAAAAGTGAAATGTTGATTGTGTTAGAGGAAGGATTGCTTAATTGAGCAGAATGAGTTCAAGAAGTTGGCTCGGTGATGTGCTAAAACCCTGCTGTGAAAGTGTCGTATATTGAGCACAGCAGTCAAGTAGCAGTGATATGAAGGTGAAAGGTGAGAGAATGGATGGGGTAAGCAGTAATGAAAGACTTTCTCCCTCTTTAAGGTGAATGTCCCCGGTAATAAGAGTGAAAGGAGATGGCGAGGAGTTGAGGAGGAGATGGAGCACAGATTCATCATGCTGCGGATTCTGAAATGAGTTAACACTATTATAATCGCCTTTTGTGATGCAGCCTTGATTCACTGACATACCCTGGGCCCAGCATTGCGCATAACGTTATGCATAAGGTGGCAGCGATTGCCACAGCCATGTTTAACTTTGCTTTACTTAATTAAACGACTGCTTGCCTTTTTCTTATAAGTATGCACGGTCATTGAAGACTATTTGACTTTATGTGTAGTTGTCGTGTTTACATCCACCAAAGTCGGATCAAGCTCCAATGACATTGTCCATCTAGTCTCGCAACGGTACTGTTTTGGCAAGGCTCCTGGATCGTTTGAGAGACCATGACATGTATGAATTACACCGGCCGCGTGGCCTAATGGCTAAGGCGCTAGATTTCGGTCCCCTTCTGAACTCTCTAGAGATTCCAGGTTCGACTCCTGGCGTGGTCGACACAGGATCTTAGGATCTTTCCTTTTGCAAATTTTTGCACCTGAGGTGGGTCGTTGGGAACAGACCAAGCCACCTTCTCCAATGTTTTATAACGATTCATTGAAGAATGATAATTGAAGCTGTCTTTAACCAATTTGGGTTGTATTTCTTAGAACTACTTTTTTAATAACATTATACTATCCGTATATATGTCGTTTAAATGCTGCTCACAACTGGCATAGCAGTCTTGTCATCCGCATTTGAAGGCATAAGCTCATTGTCAATGCTGCTCGGCTTCTCGGGGACAGTCTTCTTGCGCAGACCAAAGCATGTCGTAAGTGGCGTAAACACACCAAGGTTGCCATATCGCTCCATGTAAGTCATGGAGCAGAAGCAGATAATGACAACGAGCCAATAAACGTTGTACGAGACAACAGATCCGATAGTCGCAGAGTTTTGCCAGCCAAGAATGGCATTAAAGATACCCCAGCCACCGCCACCGTTGAGCTCAGCGTTGCAGCAGTTGACGTGCCAGACACTCTTGTGGATGTCATATGAGCCAGGGCCGGAACCGACTTCTGCTGCATCGCCGCCGATGATGTTGTTCCAGGCGTGGATTTCAAAGGCCCAGACGGCTTTGCTGAAGAGACCAGCGGCGACAAGGTACAAGAAGCCGGTGGAGATGATGAGGAAGATCTGGAGGGATGTAGTGTTGCCTCCTCTGGACGACTTTGTCAGTATTGAGACCATTTATAGAGAGGAGAGAAGTCAACCGACCTGTAAATGATGTATCCAACAACGCAGCCAGCTGCAAGACCGCAAATGACAGCCAGAGGGAACGACGAAGCTGGAAGTCCCAAACTGACACCTCCAATATACACAACAGCCTCAAGGCCCTCTCTCAGAACCGTGATGAAAGGCAGAATAAACATGACGTGCTTCTCCGACCAGAGCTTGAAACGGCTCATGATCCCAGAAGTTGCAATCGCATCCTTCTTATCCAGAGCCTGCATAAGCTTGACACGCCACTTCTCCTGAAGCTTATTAACTCTCAAGAGCGCAGCGCCCATGATTGAGATGATAATGGCTGCAATAAGACTGAAACTTCCCTCCCAGATATCTTCAGTTTTGCTAAAGACGTCTTTGCCGAGGGAGTAGAATGCTCCGATCATGCCGGCGCCGATGCAGAGGCAGATGGCGAGGCCGAGACCTACCCCAATCCATACCTGATTATTTGTTAGAGTGAAGGAGAGTGAATTCGGAGAGGGGGAGTACCTGTTTGAGCAGGCGTTTGTAGGTTTCTCTATCGCCTTCGCCGCCGACACTCTGCTTCAAGAATGCGAGAAGGACGGAGACGATGATGCTTGTTTCGAGACATTCTCGGAAACAGATGAAGAAGACTATTCAGATCAGAGTTAGACAGCTAGATTTATGGCTAGACATAACTTTTGGTGTAATTGGTCACATACTGGGAACAGCAAAGACGTTGACTGTCATGATGATATCGTCAGCCAGACCAGGCAATCAAGTGCAAGTTTAAAGATGTACAGGTCAGAAATTCATGAGATTTCTGGCACGAGAGGATATGCAATGGAACGAAACAATATATCGATGCGCCCAAACTCGCTTTCACAAGACAGTGGACCCCCCGAATTGACTTTGATCCCTTGTTTGCTAGCGCGCCAGCCTCAGTGCCGACTTTCCCGAGTCAAAGTCATCTGCCTGTAAAAAAAGATGGATAAGATAACTTTTGACACTGCGCTAATCACTTTAAGCACGCTGTGCTTCACAGCTGAGTGCCGACTTGCCGAGACTTGGTGTGTCTGACGCCATCTGATTTGACAAGATCGATAAGATAAATTAATCGCGCTCCCGATTATCCGATAGTTATCAATCTAGACTGTGCCGTTGTCGAGTTTGATGGGCTGATCCTCGTATCTTGCGCGTGCCGGTTATCCAGAGTTTGCTGCCAAAAAGTAAGGTTACTTGACTCAATTGCAGCTGGAGCTGGGATTTCGGTAGTGTGTGGCTTGCTGAGGAATTGCCGCAGTCTTTATCTGATCGGTTCCCTGCAAAACACTGGATGGCCAAATGTAACTTGAGCCTGTCACCAAATAATTCAGTTCATCTTTCTTCATCACGAGTGTATGCAGTAGCAAGACTGATGAACTAGTGACTGTCGCGATGTTCCTCTCACTCTTCGTCTCATCGCTTGCCATCCTGTTTGCTGTACCGACGGCCAGCGCAAAAGATGTGCATTTCGACTGGAATATTACGTGGACGACTGCAAATCCCGATGGATTACAAGCGCGTCCTGTAATCGGCATCAACAACCAATGGCCTCTCCCAGTCATCAACGTCACAAAAGGCGATAGAATCATCGCAAAGGTGACGAATCAATTGGGGAACCAGTCAACTACCATCCACTGGCATGGCATGTATCAAAATGGAACGAATTTCATGGATGGACCTGCTATGGTGACACAATGCAACATCCCCACTGGCGCTTCCATCACATACAACTTCACAGTGAGTGTGATTATGAGTTTTGAAAGGAACATATCTGACTCTTGACAGGTCGACCAAGTTGGCACTTACTGGTATCATTCTCACACAAGATCACAATACCCAGACGGTCTACGCCAAGCCCTCATCATCCAAGATCCCAAGAATCCATATGAGGGTGAGTATCACGAAGAGCGCGTCATCACGCTCTCAGATTGGTATCACGACGAAATGCCTGTTCTCATGAAACAATTCGTCTCGTACAAGAACCCCACTGGTGCCGAGCCCGTTCCAAACTCAGCACTCATGAACGACACGCAGAACATGACTCTTCCTGTTGAGCCTGGCAAAACCTATCTTCTTCGCTTGGTAAATGTCGGCGCTTTTGCGTCGCAGTACTTCTGGATCGAAGGGCATACTATGAAGATCGTTGAGGTTGATGGCGTCTGGACGAAGCCTGCCGAGACAGACATGATTTACATCGCGAGTGCGCAACGATATGCTGTTTTGGTTACGATGAAGAGTGAGACTGGGGTGAATTACCCCATGATGGCCAGTATGGATACGGTAAGTGGACTTTTCTCGACGCCATAACACCATTGAAGCTGATCATCTTTATTGGTAGACTTTGTTCGACACTATTCCTGATGGCCTGAACTGGAATGTTACAGGCTGGCTCGAGTACGATACCGACAAGAAGCTTCCCGCAGCTGCTGTCTTGAATGATTTTGAGCCTTACGATGACTTCAAACTTGTCCCCACAGACGGTGAGAAGTTGTTAGAAAAGGCCGATCATACCATCAGTTTGGATCTGACGATGAACAACCTCGGCGACGGCGCGAACTAGTAAGGCAGCCCTTCAAAACTTCATCTCTGACAAAAACTAGTATGTTCATACTGACGTCTTGCAGTGCCTTCTTCAACGATATTTCCTACGTGTCCCCCAAGGTCCCAACGTTATATACTGTACTCTCCGCAGGTGAAAACGCAACTAATCCAACCGTTTATGGAACCGACACAAATTCCTTCGTCCTCAAACACGGCGAGATTGTGGAAATCATTCTCAACAACGATGACTCCGGACGACATCCCTTTCATCTCCACGGTCAAAACTTCCAAGTTGTTCATCGCAGCGAAGAAAACGCAGGCCACTACAACGCATCGTGGACGAATATCACATACCCATCTGTCCCGATGCGAAGAGATACGCTTCTCGTGTATCCACAGGGAAACTTTGTCATTCGTTTCCCAGCTACTAATCCAGGTATGTCACCTTCAAACAACACGTAATAAGGTAGATCTAACTCTGGTAGGTGTCTGGCTCTTCCACTGCCATATTGAATGGCACATGGACACTGGTCTGATCGCAACGATGATTTCTTCACCGCTTGAGATGCAAAAGACTTTGACGATTCCACAAGAATTTAAGCAAATTTGCTCGGATCAAGGGATCTCGACAGTTGGCAATGCAGCTGGCAACACTAATGACTATCTGGACTTGAGCGGGCAGAATTTGATGGTGCCTCCTCTGCCGGCTGGATTCACTACGAAAGGCTACGTCGCTATGGTGTTTAGCTGTGTAGCGGGTGTCCTTGGCCTTGCCTCGATTACTTTGTAAGTGCCCCCCTTTCTTATCAGTGACCAGTGTTGATGATTCTGTTTAGGTACGGTTCTGCACCCATTGCAGCTAAGTAAAGATAATATTATACATGTATTACGTAGAAAAAGGATTGAAATAATATTTGGGATTTGTTAGATTTGCTCAACTATATATCGATTTCGAAACTTGCTACGTGCTTGAGCCGCTTGCTCTTGGAATACCCCAGTAATATCCCCCTAACACTCCCCCCCCCCCTGTAGACGCAAACTCTCGACCTGGACTGTGGTAGTTTTCAATAACGAATGACAACTGTGATTCTCTTCTTCTCTCCTCATCTTGTAAGGACCCACCCAGAAAGCGCTCGGGTTTGAAGTACCTCCCATCTGGACTCCGGATTTCATCAATAAAGTGAGTTGTTGATCGAGCCCACTGAATGCTGAAGCCCTTCTTGAACAGATACCTGTAATCCTATGCGTCTTGAACCTTGGAGTCTTCCAAGACCCTCTTGTCGCCGATGGAGTAAAATAGTGACGAACGGATTGACCAAAGCCCCAAACTTCATTGGTGTATATTACAGCCGTGGAGATTGAACGCGCACTTGGATCTCACTGGAAGGTGGGTTGACTAAACTGATACAGGAACTGAGAGAGAAATAGAAACGCTGGCTTTTAATCAGGGTGCCAAATCCAACGAGTGTCAACAAAGACTAAAGTTGCCTCAGTGTTTTCGCCTCTTGCAAAAGAGGTCCCTTGCCCTGACAGACTAGATAGGATCTCTTAAAATTTACACACGATGTAATTTGAGTGAGCATGCGTGATGTTAAGAAAAAATTTCAATACGAGACTAACAAATGAAAAATAATTATGACACCCTAATATCCATATCTTGATCCCATTACACCTCACCATCTTCCCCATCGTAACCATCCAAACGTCAGAACGGTGATCAAAGACCCATAAAACTGTCTGATAGCCCATGCTGGCGCCAACAAAGGATCATTCCTCGGAATAGGTTGAACTGGTGGCTTGAATGTCGGCTCCAGCTCCTGGCCTCATTTAGCCTCGCGAAGCACATCAATCTTCTTGTTGATCTTGTCGATCTTGGCCCCGCTATCGTAGCACTTGTCCTGGAGCTGATTCACGATGTCATCCCACTCTTCGATCTTGCGCTTCAGGCTTGTCACCTTCTTCTTGTTGGCCTCGTTCTCATGGTCTCTGTCGCGCCACCTCGCGTTAGCCCCGTCCAGTTTCTTCTCAGTAGCCGCGAGTTTGTCGGTGGTCTGGCTCAACGACTTCTGGGCAGCCGTGAGCTTGTCGGTAGTTTGATTGAGGAGATTGGTCTTGGTCTGCAGGGCTGCCTTCTTCTCGTCCAGTTCAGCCTTGGTGTCCTTCAGGCTCTTGCTGGTCTTGCCGAGCTCATCCTTGGTCTTGTCGTGCTCTTTCTTGGCGGTGGCGAGTTGGGATTGGAGAATCTCGTTTGCCTTCAGTGCTTTCTTCCAGTCATCATCAAGGCAAGAGTTGACCTTAATGAGACGAGCATTCTCATCCTTCTGTACCTTGAGAACATTCTCGAGCTCGAGCAACTTCGCATTGAGGGCAATAATTTGGCCATGCAGACCTGAGAGCATCTCAAGGAGATCATCTCTCTCAATGTGAGCCTGTGTCAACTGGTCCTGGAGGTCTGTGTTCTGGCTGTAAAGGCTGTTGAGATCTTCCTGTAGCTTCTTCATGATTGTGTGGTCAATTTCACCGTGCTTCTGCAGTCCCTTGATGGTGTCATCGAGTTCTTTGACCTTGTTCTGGTAAGCTTCGTTAGCCTTGGTGAGCTTGTTCTGAAGGTCATCGATCTTGTTGTTGGCCTGGTTGCGCTCATCAGTGAGCTTGACGATCTGGGTCTCCAGGTTTTGCTTGTCCTTCTTGAGAGACTGCACAAGAACGGTTTGCTTATGAAAGTCCTCGTCGAGAGCAGCGAATTTCTATGCGACGTTAGTATGAAACTTTACATTTGTAGAAAGCAATACATACGTTCTGGGCCTGGGCAGTGAGGTAGCCGGCCTGCTCGATAAAGGCAACACCATGTGTCAAGGTCTCCATGATAGTCTGGGGGAAGGGCATGGCGTGGAGGACGCGAGGAAGTGTTTGCACAGGCTGAGGCAGGCGGAACTCAGTCTCTTTCTTTGTGGGAGGGACGAGGTCTTCGGAGTCGAATGAGCTGTAATCGTTGTCAGTGTTATTCAAATCAGCAGATGTCGAATTCGATACTTACTGCTTCTTAGGTTCGACCTTAGCGACAAGGTTCAGCTTGCCAATCTCGGCCTGCTTTCCATCTGCCTTGACCTCAATAGTAAGTTTTTGGGTCTCTTTGCTCCAGGCACAAGTGATGTCAAAGAAGTTGTTGAAGGAGAACTTGTCGAACTTGTCATCAGACCCGATGACCTTCATGTTGGTACCTTTGAAGGCTGATGTCTTAGCGTTGCCTGAACCATCCTTAGTCCACTGCCACGAAGACACAATAGGCTTTCCATCCTCATAGTCCTCAGGGAGGACAAAGATGGCCTGTTCGTTAACAGCATTCTCGCGCCAGTTGATGCTGCCAGCCCAGATGCGAAGTGCAGCATTAGGGTTGATCTCACCCTGGGGCTGCCAGTGGCGCTCAAGAGCAGTGCTGGCCTTTCCGCCAGAGGGACTGGTCATGTCGACCTTGATCTTGCTGTAGTTCTGCTCAGTGGTGATGGTATAGCTGTACCAAGCTCCTGACAGAGTGAAGCTGACATCTGTGGACTTAGGAAGCTGCTTGAGGTCTTGGACGAGGATGGTTTGGAAGAACTTGGACTTCTCAATGCCAGAGGCATCCTTTGTCCATTGGGTGAAGATGTATATGGGATCGTTGGCACGAACGACACCCTTGGGGAAGATGATGGTGAAGGTCTCGTCAACGGCGTAGTTGTACCAGTTGAGCTTTCCTTGGTAGATGAACATGATGGGCGATGAAGTCAAGTATGAGATGAAAAACAAGATAGAAGAGTAAAGAGAAGCGATGGATCAGGTCGTTAGGGAAGAGGAGAAGTTGATGTGGATGATGAACCAAATCTGTAGGAGATCGACGCATCTTTATAGACTTTGTCTATTGCTGCATGTGAGTCTGTCTTCACGACGAACTAGTAGGTTTCCCCTCAGCTCTGGCTGCAGAAAGTATTGATGGCGACTAGCCCGAATACTGATCACATCCCCTCCACCCTCCCGCGTATCATTCCGCATGGCGCTTGTGAAACCGTAAAGTTAACCGTGTGGCAAGCTGAACTCCCTTGACCATTCCGCGTCCAAGCCAAATCACATCCACAGCACCACACAAAACCCTCGTGGCTAGCTGTGCGGCTTGAAACATTGATCCCCAATCACCAGTCTAGAAGTTCAGCCCTCGCTAACAATTCCCAAGCGCTCTCTCAAGGCTGAGACAGGCGCTGCTTAGACCAAGCTGAGACGAGACCCTGGAGAGGGAGCCCAATGATAAGGGTTCAATAGTGTGCGCCACGTGCAGGTCCAGCTCGCCACGGGCCGTGATAAGCGGCTAGAACGGCCGGGCCCAGACCTCGCCAATCACACAGACTATCTACCAATAAATTGATCACAATGCAGGCCTAGCGATAGTTTGCGGTGATGTTGCCATTTTGGAGCTGGGGCTTAGACAGGCCGGGCTAGAACGCTGCGGCTGATGTGCGCGGGGAAGACAGATTAGGGATAATGCATGCCAATTGGGGTTTCAGAGGCAGCTGAGCTGCAACGCTAACTTAGAAAAGTTTGGACGACACGAATTGCGCGATTGAAGAGACGAGAACTTGAAAGAGTTGAAGCTTTGTGGAGCGATCATGTGTACGGAGGAGACTTGTGCGATGCTAGAAAAAAACCTTGAAAATACTGGGTGCCCTACCAAGGTGGGTCCTACGAATAGCTTCACTTGAATCACCATGGTCGGCTCAACGAAACGAAAAGAATGCACGCGAGAATGCCAATGTTTACAGAAAACCTTATGATTGGACTGCTGCGAGTAGCTTAGAGACTTGTATGATCAATTGTTTGTATTTCCCCACGATGATATCATCCAGCATCGCCGATTGCTTCAACCCCTTCTCAGCATCACCACAATCTTCTCAATCCCGATATCGCCGTGCCTGGTTTCGTCTTTGCATTTATCTCCTTATCGTTTATCTTCTTCTCAATCCTTCGTTCCTGAGGCGATGACGCTTCCACCATTGTTCGCCTCAAAGATCAGGCAAAACTTTATTTGAGGCTCCTTCTTCGTCCGTCGCTGGGCCTTTTCCTCCGGTCGGCTGAGTGCCTTCTCGTTTCGATACACGGGTCGAAAGCTCCGAGGGCTTCGTGTCGCCCCGCTGCGGAAATCGTTCGATCGATGAGGCTGAAGAGAGGTACCTGCCGTTCAAAAGACTGATTGTTGCCTGGAGGTGTTGATGCCTTAGGTTGTCCCAACCATACTCGCGTCTCGACCTCGTACGTGTGCTTGGCTGAGAGATGGGATCTTTTTCTTGCGATTAGGAGAGATTTCTTGTTCAAGAACCTTACCACTTTGTTCTTGTTGATCGTTGCATTGCAGTTCATGTGAAAACATAGGCTTGGCCCAGCCATGAGGCGCTGGGCTCCAGCATTCACGGCGTCGGTCGTCGTCTTCTTCTTTTCTTTTCTTCTCTTCAGAGGAGACCGTCGCGTTTTGCGCCGACGTAGCCGGCCTGCAAGGCGCTGAGATCAAGAAGTATTGCGACTTGGTTGCCAAGAGGTTGCGTACGTGTCTTGGTGTTGTGCCTTCCCCAGTTTGCAGTCTCGAGCGAGTGCAGATGGGTCAGGAGCAGGCTATACGTTGAGACTTGAGACTTGATCAAGAAGATCTCCTTCTGATGCTCCTTTCATACATTGGCTCTGTGACAAGGTTAAAGAGGTATTGGCCCCAACACATTCGTTTTTATTCTCATTGTCTTATATGAGGCCCTGGAGGTCGCTGGCCGCGGTCTTCTTGAGTGACGTTCGTGGTGGTCGCGGTTGACTGCGTTTTGCTGTGTGAGGCTCTTTCGTTCCTCGTGCTGTAGATGGGCAAGTCGTTCGATGTAGGTGGCGTTGCTTCCCAAACTTGGTCTTGCACTGATATTCATCGTTTCCAGAGCGTGGGCCCTGAACCTGCCGCCTTCTCTCGCTCTCTTCGTTTCTCTTCTGTGCCTCTCTTGCCCTAGCTGTCTCGTTGCCAACTCGTCTGGTTGACCGATCGCTCAAAGTGTACTTTGGAACAACTCTTGCAGTACGTCGGCAAGTTCGCGATATAACTTTTAATTTCATATCACTGCTTGCAGTTTTAGCACCAAATCAATCTTGATTTTCTCTATGCCTCTCCTGTCCCAGGCCTCGGAGCCTCAACAATGCGGTCTTCTTGAGCCATGTCAAGGCGCTTGCGGATGAGTGTGTCCCGATGCCAGAGCCTCTTTCCTTCCTGCAGCGGGTAGAGGAGCAGATGGTTCGATTTCGATAGTGCCACCTGTCGGTGTTAGTCTTCAGGGACTTGCTCAATTTCCAAATTGGATCTTGCACTTGCCTCCCTCTCTCTTATTCCTCTGAAGTCGCTCCGGCGTTGGGAAGAGCGGGAGTGCTCGCAGATGGGTATAAAAGGCCGTCTCCCCCACCGTCTTCTTCTTCTTTTCTTTTCTTCTCTTCATAGTTGAGTACCATCGGCTTATTTGCCAATGCAGCCGGCCTGCAAGGCGCTGAGATCAAGAAGTCAGCGGCAGGGTTGTGCGCACTGGGACAACTTGCGCTAACCCCCCAGTGCGCAGAAGGTAAGTACGGCACAATTTTTGATTTACTCTCACTGCTTGCAGTTTTGTCTACTCTCGCTGTTTCTCTGACCAGAGGGGTGTCAGTTGATTCGGTTTGAATCCCTTTTTTTTCATTGCATTCACCGGCTTGCTGGTGGTGCGAAGAAGAAAACTTTGCCTTGTGGTGTGAATGATGTGTGATGTGCCAGTGTGTGATATGCCATTGTGTAATGTGTGCTGTGCCAACGTTCAAAGGTGCCAATCTGTGAAGTGTGAAGTGTGATGTGAAGCATGTGCGATGTGAATGATATGTGATGCGTCAGTGCCGTTTCATGTCTGCTGAGGATGAAAATTTGATGGTGGTGAAGATAGGCGGAACTGTGTGCAGAGATTGGATAGAGAATTAAACGAGATGAATGAATGAATGAATGTAAGATAGAAAACTCGAACAGACACAAGAACTAGGAAACGAGCGAGGCGAAAACCTCAGGAGGAATGCAGATGAAGAATTGAAGAGGCGGGGGACGGGGGAGATGCTGTATTTATAGGGAAAATCGAGACAAGCTTTGTGGGATGAGGGCAAATGTCCTCTGGATTAAAATTTGGCTTTGCGGCTGTCGGTGACTCATTTGAAGGATGATAATTTTCTCCTAGAAGTCTGTTGATCATTCGAGCGCAACGTCAGTGGTTGCAGAGAGGATGCTTGCGATGCGGACGAAACCTAAGCATCAGGTGGAGGGACAAGCTTGCGCGTAACTCCAATGATCGGTCGACACTGGATGCCTTACTTTGCATTTGAGACCTATTGGATTCCATCGCAGAGCTTCGATGGATCGACGCGAGCGATTGATGGCTGACCTGGGGCTTGGCAGTTGGCGACACCTGTCGAGAGTTCGAAGCCTATGACAACACAACGAACTATCCTATCAGAAGCTCTTCAATGACAACTTCGCGCCACCTACAGCATCAAATTTCTATCTACAGCATCCTCGTCGGTAACGGATCGCGTGAGTTTTAGTGTCCTTACGACGCGCCGAGTCATCCTGCGGTCGATCTCGAAATTCTTTCCATCGACCACCGAGCACGACACCCTCTTCTCCTCGAAGAACAACCAAAAGAGGGGGCGGGCAAATGGTGACACCTGTCGGAGGCTGATGACAGCGAAGAACAGATGACTCCCATCAAGCACGACCTCTCGCCACCTGTAGCATCGAATTTCCATCTACAGTGCCCTCAGCAATAGCAAGCACCTCGTCCTTTCTTGTCAACACGCCGCGTTGCGCCATCCTGCGGCCGATCCGAAAGCAAAGTCTTCTCGCTCGGTGGGCAAAGCACACACGACCCGCTACTACATGCTCCCATCGACACTAAACTCCCTATTCATCGCTGAGCGCCCTGTCGGATCTTCGACGGCTATGCTGGGAGACTCTCGCTGCTTCTGCCCGCCCAACATCGAGTCTCGGCCGAGTACGACGAACGCGAGCCCGAACCGCCCGTCACGACGCCCCAAGTCGATGCGAATCTCGCAACATGTTTCGCTCACCAACGAAAGGAGGCCATTTCGCATCGCTTGCGAAGCTTCACATTAGGACGAGCGCCGGCGTCGACTGGCCTCGAAGGGCAGTTGATCACGATCGACGCCAAAGAACTACGAACCGAGTCACATTCCACACTTGCAACTACGTATGGAGGCCTACTTTGGCGATGATTGTAACAGCAACATAAGGAAGAGATTTATCAGCTCGAGCTCGGAATCCTTCGTTCCCTTCCGTCCAAGTTCCCAATTGGCGGTGCTCTGGCAGCCTGCAGCATCGGCAATTAGAACAATACTATCGACAAAGTTTCGTCGCTCCTCGTCCAAGACCCGAGTCCGCAATGGGTGAGACGCAGGCCCAACAAATACAATAGAGAAAAACTCCTTCCACCCATCGAAAGTCCAGCTTCAAACTCGTCGCGGCCTGACAAGCTATCCATGATCAAGTATCCCTACAGCGAGAATTCGTCGTCAAGGCACATTTTTAGTTCAAAGTGCCGTGTCGAGGACATTCACAAATCATGGCTGGCGAAGACGTGATTTAGATCGTGGGCTGCCACATCGGCTCACGTCGCCAACATTGTTCCCATCGACAATTCACCCAACCCAACCACAATCTTCAAGGCCATTGAGGATGGCGCTCACAGAAGAAGGCTCGGTATTGAACAATTCAGCAGAGAATGGCGGGTTCTGCGACGAAGTTTGCCACTGCTGACCATGTGATTGGATCCTAGGTACCGGCAACACGATCCCGAGCCTAGCGACAACGATTAGTTACCGCCTCTGCCCCGAGTTGGCATCCGCGAGTAAACGGGGCCTTTGCTTGTTGCTTGGGATCTGAATCAGGACCTAACGGCCGCGGACGTGCTGCAGTACAATCCAAGTCCGACCACCCACCTCGACAACCTTGGGCGTTCGCTAATATCCTATCTCGCAGGCGTGGAGATCTAGAGTGGCGCCTATTAATTTCCACACACTGGTCTCTCGGATGACAGCATCTGTTGGTTTATATATTTGGTGTTCTGTGTCTATATCCCTTCATTACCAATCGCTTGCGTGCGTGTTGGCCGGGCCAACGTGACATTGCCAAGCTACCCCCCACACTAGTCAAACTACCTCACGCCTTCTTCTCGGCCGGCACCAAAGTACGGACGATCGCTACCTACGCAACCGCATCACACTCACATTTCCTGGAAATTGATGAGAACCGAGTCAAGTCTTCAACGACGATGCTACGATGTCCACGCTTCCCCGACTCGACCCCGGGCGGAGAATGCCGAGTGCGGACCTGATCCGCCCATATCACGCCGCTCCAACACAACACGAATCTTACCATACGTCATGCTCAAAGGAAGGATTATCGCCTTCATAGTTGCCCTTGTCGCTCGCAGAGCTTCTAGCCGAGACAAGCGCGGACGTCAACCGGTGTTGAGGTGATTGATCACGATCGAAGCCCAAAGAATCACGAGCCGAGAACGACGGAGTCACGTTTTATGCTTATGAGTATAAAGCGGAATAGACAAGAGTTGTTGATCAGTATCAGTAAAAGGACATTCATGGCCTCGAGCCTCGCATCCTTCATTTCCATCCAAGTCCCCAATTGACGGCCCTCTGGCAGTATCGGCAATGACAACAACATCTATTAAGGTCAGACCGCTAGACCAAAGGACCCAAAATTAGAAGCCCCTGCTTCAAGGTAATAGAGAAATAGGGCCTATACCGATTCGAAACAACATCACAGTGGAGCGTCGCAACCTTTCATCCAAGGTCGAAGAGTGCGGTGTATAAAAATTGTCCTCAGGAATACAATGCAGAACCACCTCTTTAAACCCTTCCTTTCACTATTCAAAGTTCCAGTCTCAAACCTACTGCAGGCTGACCGGCTATCCACGATCAATTATCCTTGCACCAAGAAGTTGTCGACGGATCATCAAAGACAGACAAGCGGATTAACATCGGGCGGTGAAGGCAAGATATAAAGTTTGAACTCGGTTCCCAACAAGATTCCATTGCGAGGTACGTTTCTCGAATTATCTGGTGATTGAGAATGGAGATCGTTTCGATTATTGAATCCGTCCAGATACCGACATCTATTTCCAAAGAGAAATCCAATGCCACACACTAAAGAATTCCGCACATTGCGAGGACAGTAACATTCGAACCATGCTCAGCATTCACATCACCGATGTACCCAAGCTTGCCGTCTCCAACCGAAGCGAATGCGACCGCGCTTTCGCCGGAGACTCTCGCCTTTGTTGGAGTCAAGATATTATCGACATTCTTCATCTGTCACATACCGGTCGTCTTCAAATGCGACGTTGTGCACGAATAGAGCCTGTGTGCTGTATTCTGGAACCATCTTTACAGCTAAACCGCTGTCGAACGCTGTGTGATTCAGCACAAATGTCTCGCGGGTGTGAGGCGGCGGGCCACCCTAAGCCGGCTTGCGCGAAGAATGGTTTGATGCTCAGGGGTAGGACAAACTAGAGAAGCCGCCCATGACTACCACCTTCCCAACTCCGCGGACATATCGAAGGACGGCGTGCCAAACATGGTTGTTTTGATCCTCAGTCAACCCTTCGTCGGTTATCAGGATAGCTGCCGGAGTTGGCTCTCGTAAAAGCCAGCGCTTTGCTGAATCTGCGTCCTCAGCCCTCAAGAAGTCGGAATTTGGCCGAATTTCGGTCACAAGTGGTTTGTAGATCTCATCTAAAAATGGCTGAGGGTTGAAACTTGGGTGAGATAGCGAGGATTAACGGTTTCGTTGCGGTATTTGCCATTTTGCAGAAGTCCTTTCAACAAGCGGTCTAAACAAGATGAAGGTGAAAGTAGCAAAGCTTGGAACATTCACTTTCCTTTAGCATTAATACTTCAAGTGTCGGGTCCTGAGCCTTCACCTTTTGCAGAAGTTCAGAATCCGCTGTTCCACGAAGGATGTTCCAAGCTTGAATGCGAAAAGAGGCTTCCACGACAGCGCCTTTTGAAATGCCACCAATCTGGAACCTTTGGCCAGGGAAGCAATATGTTGACGTTGCGAGGGCGGATACATGAAGAGATTTGATGTCGTTTACTTCAATGGCGGTTGGACGAAAGGGGCTGTCAAGTATTAAGACATCGTCCGTCTGATTGTAGACCGTCAAGACCCCCGATCGTTGAAATTTGCGAATATGGAAGAGTTATTAACTGGTAGTCCCATGAATATTCGCTGTCTTGCTTGATTGTCGGCGGGGATGTAAGTGCTTGGTTGGCCTGAAATCATCAGGCCACTGACCACGAACTTACCCCGCTTCCTCTTCCTCACTTCAATAATATGCAGACTTGATAACCCTCCGAATTTCAATCAACAGCAAATTGTTACCACTATGGCATCTTGTACCCGCTTCAGACTCGTCTCCAACGTGCCCACATCGTCGCTGTCTCAATGCAAAGATGCTATCTTCGCTGCTGGGGCAGGTCGCTACCCCGGCCCGGGTAACTATACAGAGTGTTGCTGGACCATTATTGGGACTGGGCAGTTTCGTCCGGGCGATGCAGCGAAACCACATCTCGGAGAAGTCGGAAAGCTTGAAGAGGTAGAGGAGGCAAGGGTCGAAACTATTTGCGTGGGTGAAGACGTTGCAAGAAATGCTGTCAAAGCTCTGAAGAGGTAGGTGATTTCACGCCCTCGTAACATTAGGCACGGCTAATTCTTTATAGCGCTCATCCCTATGAAGAGCCCTCTTATTCCGTGTATCGACTAGAGGATTTCTAGGAGGGAGAGTCAAATGATGCGATGTGGTGACAGGCTGGGTAGGATCCAAGGTAGTAGACTAAGGTTTGCTTGAACGGTAACTGGAAACATAATGCCCGCCCAGCACGGGCTAAGAGAACTCGAAGTGGTATGAGAAGAAAAGAGAGAAATGAGACCTAGGATTAATAGCCTATATTAAACGCCTCCTACAATTCCTCGAGCTCAAGCGCCGGTCCCGTCTAAAACATACGTCAGCTGACATGCGGAATCAAGGAATTAGTGTGCTGTTCAATGTCAGCACGGCTTATTATGCCCGAAAGTCGTCTCCCGACATCCAGTTCTTCTTTGACTACCAAAAACTGATGAATATGTCTCATAAAAATATTTCTAGCGTTGTGATCGCTGGCGTCAGTTTGGCTCCTCACTCGTAAAGCACGTGCTGACATCTACAGGGCACTGGGCGTCTCGGCCCAACGACCATCAAACACCTACTCAAAAACGGGTTCAAAGTCAGCGTGCTGACCCGTAATCCATTTCTCGCAAAACTGCCACCAGAAGTCGATGTTATCGGAGCAGATTACACATCAGCCGAGACTCTATCGCCAAGCCTCGTAGGTCGCCGGTTCGATGCCATTGTCATTATTCTCAACCGCCTTGCCTACGATGCCTCGGTGGTTACGATGCAAGCAGCCGCCAACGCTGGTATTTATCGCGCCATCCCATCATTTTTTGGTGTCTCGCTCGATAATCCGGAGATAGCCAACATGCCATTCATGAAAACCAAGCTACCGGTTCTGAACGACGTCTTGGCAAAGGCTGAGAAGGGCGAGATCACATACACAGGTATCAACACCGGCATGTTCCTCGACTGGGTGCTCGATGAAGACATATTTGTTGGTTTATCGGGCAAGGCACCGACTCGCATTGCGGATGGGGGAGACATCCCCATGTCTGCTACTACTCTCGATGATATCGGTAAAGCAATCTCTGCCGTGCTCTTGAAGCCCGAAGAGACTGTCAATAAGTTGTACTATATACATACTGTGGTCATGACACAGAATCAGGTCTTGGGTTATGCCCATGAGGCTGCTCCAGGGGTGAATTTTGCCGTTGAACAAGTTGATACGAAGGTGTTGGTCAAAGCTGCGTGGAAGCGGTACAACGAAGGAATACGAGACCGGGTTTCAGTGAGGGACTTTGTTATCAGAGCGAGTTATGGTATGGGGAATGGATTCTTTCCAAAGACTGATAATGAGTTTCTGGAAATTAGACAGTGGAGCGATGAGAAACTGAAGGAAGAGATATTCAGGCGCGTGAAGGCTACTTCGCTTGATGGTGTCAAGACTGCGGAAGAGTAACTTCATATTATGCTCAATTCATCAAACCATACGCTCTCAATCCCCTATTCCCACTGCTCAAATCTGACTAGTTAGTCCTTTCTTATCTCCTCCATCTCGTACAATTGCTCAAACAGTTCCACGCCACGTTTTCCTGACGCCAGGCTCAATTGTGTCATACGATTTCTCAGCGTTGAGTATCGATGCACCTCAGCGGGTTCCTTGTAGCCAATGTCCTCAACTTCCCCAGAAGGTAGTAAGTCTGCAAAGGGATTCTGAAATGACGGCTTACGTTCACAGAACGACAGTAATAACAACGCCATATCATCCTGATCGAAGCCCGGGAAACATTTTAGTGCAAGGTTGAGGGCACATTGCAACTCCGCCTTGGTTGTTTTCCGTACAACTCGCCATACCTGACGAAAATAATTAACATAACTTGTCCACTGAGTTCTGACGTCGGCATCATGTTTTGCATCATTGATGTTGAACTCAGGATATAAATCCCACAGTCCAGCATTTTTCAGACCACGCAAAGACAAGGTACAAGAGCGCTCGTTTATGTGAAGGACTCCCTGAGAAAGGTATTCCCCGTTATCGAAGCCTGTCAAAACAAGTCTTAGTTTGCGGATCTGCAACTCCTCGGGTCTGAACTGTGCATTCCGAAACGCCTTGAGCAGCCACATATCTCTTGCGAACTGACCTAGCGGAAACTTTGCTGTATCCACAGCGCATATGCGAATATCATCTTGGGGGTTGTGCCATGTGTTGCACAATCTCCAGTTGGCATACTGAATCACAAACATGAGAGAGCTGCTCCACGAGACAAGATTGTCCGTCACAAGGCTACCAAAGGCACTCTTGCTCAAATGATGATGCAGCATTTCCGAAGCCTTTTGGTAATCCATTGAGAAAATATCAATCTTGTGGCGATTTGCTTTGTCGCCCTTGTTAAGTATGGAGGCGATAACATCTTCGCCGTTGACACCCGTGCTGTTGTTGTCCCAAGCTCGGAAAAGGTACCGTGGGGTTTGAGTTGGAGGCTTCATGACGGAGTCCTCCTTGGGCTGAAAGAGTGTCGGGCCACCGGGGCAGTTACAGAGCGATCTGGTCCAGAATTTGATCCAATCTTCCCTTCTGGCCTTGCTCCCTGCCCATTTGCTAGTGGCAAGATAATCATCAGGATTAAGCTCACCAGCAGGGCTTGTAGCTTGATGATAACATTCCTGAGCAATCTTCCGTAGAACGCCCTCACTCCCTGATGTCTCGATGACTCTCTGTGTGATGTTTTCTATTGGTTTCTTGAAATGTTCAAGGAGGTCATCCACGGCGAATGACGTCTGGGAGTCCGAGCAGATGACTTGTCTGACAAGAGCTGGGATTGCAGAGTCGATAAGCAGTCGTGCGACTTGAGCAAGCTGGAGACCCCTGGTATGCGCTAGACAGATGGACTCGGCATCTCCTCTGTTAAGTTCTTCCTCAGTACGAAGCAATTTGACGACGGTGTCTGCCCGGTCTGGGAGATTAACAGCTGTTTCGTCGAAACTGCGCAAGGCCCCGTTAAGAGACTTGCGAGACCGTCTTCTGATTCTTTTACCACTGATATTCAGACCCTCGATCCTGTTGGAAAGATCTTCAATGTTGGCCGTGGCCTGATTTTGGTGGTCGCCCATTGTCAAGAAAGTTGTTCAAGGAAGATGGTAAAGGTAACCAGGAGGGATGTGAAGGGGGGATTCTATCCTGGTGCGGGGTATATGATACCACATGCAAGATGTGTAGATGCAAAGGAGCCAATTGGGAGACCACTTTCAAGCCTTTTAGGATTGTGTAAGCATTTGATTCGCTATAATCATATACTGTTGTCATCCACGTGAATGACCAATCTAACGATGGAAATCTGACACCCTTCTCTTTTCATCAAAGAGTAACCAAGTTCTCTCTGCTGATTCAAGCTCTCAGCCACAAGTCTCAACGACAAAAATGGGATCTAAGACCGCAAAGGTTCTCTTGATTAAAACCATGGACTTCAAATGGGCATCTTTCTTAGCTTCCTCCTCCGACAGATCACCCCAAGGGGCCAGCTCTGAGTCAAGCCTATCTTCCGTCAGCTTTGGCAGTACCTTGAACCGACATATTTCATCATGATCAGGGAAATGTTTATTGGAAGCATCTCAACGATCTTCTGTATAATCATGTCAAAGTGCAGGGTCCTAGAGTAGTTGCGACGGAGATGACTTACACAACCAAGTTTGATGGTGCTTTCGAAAGGTCAATAGAAGCAAGGTGGCATACCATATATCAATCTCTTTCAATGGCCCCCTTACAATTTCGCAAGATTGGTCAAACTCTTCTTCAGATGTGCGACGTTCATCTCCCCAGTTGGCGCGAAGCTGTAGCACACGATTTGTTCAAGAACATTTAGCTGACTGGTCTACAAACCCTGGATATAGTTCATATAAGCCGGATGATATAAGATCCTGTAGAGAGAAAGTGGAAAGTCGACCACGGTGATGGGCCACTCCCTGGGAAAGGTACTCCGCGTTGTCATACCTAGTGATCCGTATTGGGTAGAACTGTGCTCCGAAGCAAAGACGGTATCCGAGTTGAGCCCAGAACTCTGAGTCATGGAACCGAAACAGAAACCGTGGCACATCTTGAAACGACCACTGTAGTGAGGCGCTAGAAGGGCAAAATATCGTTGGGCCCGCAGGACATGCGTTGAATAGTTGGATCCAGAACCTGTTCTAAACAATTCTCCTCTGAGCCTTTCGCCTTTCGCCTTTCGCTTAATTCTGACCTCTGATCGGGGCTAAAATCACGGATGGCTTGTCGTCCATTTTTGAGATCTCTGAATCCAGGAATTGAGGTCGACATGCCCAGAGGGGATCTCCTTCACCCAAAGCGGCGGGGTACTGAGTGGGATCCAGTGTGCCTCAAGGAGATGAAGCTTGAATGCAACATTTTTCAATAATGCTCCATTGACTTTCTGGACCATCGAGATTATAAAGTTCACCACGGGCTATGTCGCTGATCTTGGCTGTAAAGTGTCCTAGAAGCCCGTTGACTTGGCGTTCTCAAGGATTAGTACGCCAAGTGATGATCTCAACCAATGATCAATCAATGGTGCTAGTAACGCTTAGAGCTGATTTCGTGATGCGGTTGACATTGGCGCGTACCTTGCATAGCTCCTCTTCGCTAGCTTTGTAAACAACATCGGGATCATTCAGGAGAGCTACGAGTCCGCTGTACACAAAGCTGCGCGGACGCGACGGCTTGAAAGTTGCTTGGAGCTCTGATCAGGGATGAGCAGGGTTGTTGTCGACAATGCGCAGGGCGTTTATGTGATCTTGATCGAAGATCTTCGTATTTGGTTCCCGTTGTGACTGATTTGCGAGTTTGCTGAAGCCGCGAGACGGATGTTCGGAGTTGTCGAGATGCAAAAATACTGAGAAGTGGATGCCCGACTAACTTAGACAAAACTGAAGTCGAGCGCATATTTCGGCACCTTTCGACGGCATTGACAACATCGGTTTTGAACATTGGAAAAAATCGCATTACAGTGTTTATTTCAGACTTGATTTACTGTCAGACACAGATAAATGTGTCAATTGGCAAAAACATAAAACGACGCGTGCTCTAAGGGTTTGAGGCTAAGCCGGATTTGAGTAATTTCAAGTTTGGCAAGGCAGAATGTATCAGTGTTCGTCGTCTGCTCAATGAGTGCCTGTGCATTAGAGCGATAGCTTTGGAGGAGCTTAAAGTCAGCTTGCCTAGGTACTGAAATGTCGGCAAAATATACAGTGCATATTCTGGCTCGAATTATTCTCGCTTCTTCAAATAACACACAAGACCCTTCTGGCGTGGGAACCAGCTACCAGTAACTACCCACGGCGCATTCGGATCAACCAAGGAAATATCATACTTGTTGATCAACGTAGCCACAATCTTATACAGCTCAAGCTGAGCAAGATGGCGACCAATGCAGACTCGTGAACCGTCACCAAAAGTCAAATCGGCTGCGTTGAACACACGCATTCGCTCCTTATATGCTGTTTCAGTCTCGCCTTCGTTCTGGAGCCAGCGCTCGGGACGGTACGTATCGGCATCTTGGCCATAAATTCCCTTGTTACGCCCAGCAACATAGGGGTTAATGCCTACAGCGGTTCCAGGGGGGACAAAGCTGCCGTCAGGAAGTTTGAGGCCTGTCTCGGGTACATAGCGTTCTAGGATCATGCAGACACCTGGGTGCATACGCATGGCCTCACGAACACAAGCTTCTAAGTCTGGGCTTGGTAAGCACTTGGGTCAGGAGATAAAAAGTATATGGGAATAAACTCACAAGGCAATGCTCGAGCGGAGCTAAATGAAGCGACATCCTCGAGGCCGGCATCTAAAATCTCCTTCTCGAGCTTCCTGTAAACGTGAGGGTTGTGAAGACAGTACCAAAAGAAAGCTCGGATAGTGATAGCAGTGGTATCAGCCCCAGCGAGAAGGTTGACCAGAAGATAGCCCATGATGGTTCCATCATTGACAAGATCAGGGTTCGTGGTCTTGGATTCAATAAAGTGCTGTAGAAAGTCGGGGACTTGGGGATCGAAGTTCTCGTCCTTGCCTTGCAGGCGGGCAGTCAAATGTTCAAGTGAGATACGAGTAATGTTGGCTAGGTTGGGGGGGCCGATGCGCATTACGGGATTCTTGTCAAGAAGAAAGTCGAGGAAGGGCATTTGGCCGACGGCAGCGAAACTATCACTGTCAGTAACTACCCTGCCGATGATAAATGGGCCTATTACTAGTCAAGAGCCTTGTCGGCAATGGAGATGGTGCTGTCATAGTCATATCCTTTATCCATGTATCCAAAGCGCTGGCTAAAAGAGGCAGCACCATTTGCGTCCCACGAGTCTGCAGAGCCACATCAGTTTCGTGCAATGTATGTCAGTAGATAAAAAGCCTACAAAAGCCAATCCATTCACCAAAGTCAAATGCCTTTGGTTCAGATCTACTCATGAACCTCTTCTCAAGATGGCCGCAAAAGTCGCTGATCAAGCCATCAAAGAGGGACTCAAGACCCATAACACTGCTTTGGGAATAGTACTTGACAATGGGGCGCTTCATGCGGGCATGTTCGACCTGATCAGTCGTGCTGAATAGATGATAGGTGATTTTGCCATTGATGACAGCGCTGTTATTGTGGTAAAACTCGGTCTGGAACAAGGGCAATTAGTCCATGCAGACTATAGTGACAGGGCGATGTGAAAGAGCGTACCTTTCTCCATTTGCCATCCGTACCATAAATAGTCTTGATCAGTTCAGGAATATCAAAGTCTAGAGTATTGGGACCGATGCGAACAACAGGGCCATACTTCTCATGAAGTTCCTTGATCTTGATATGGTAGCTACCCTTCATCACAGTACGCAAGCGCCATAGGTTAGTCCAGCCTGAGAGTTGTTAGCCCTATCGTTAACAATGAGAAAAGGCACTTCTCACCAGCCAGTCCAGGGCCAGGATATTTTCGGAGCGGGGATGCGAAATAGGCCGCGATCCACCACACGGCAATACTCAGAATAGGAACAAGGACCAGGGCCACGGCGAGACTCTTACAGTCCGAGCGCTGAGCCAGGGCAATCAAGTAAGAGGTACTCTGAGGGGAACTCATCGTGGGAGACAAGAGACAACTTGCCAATGAAACATACACTATTCGTAAGGCTGCCCTGAATTGGAAATGAGGATGGCTATATACATTTGGAGGAAGTGATCTGCAAGGGGAAGTGGTCTGACGGTGGCTTGCGCCAGAATTCCCCACAGCACGGAACCGAAGCTGTTCGTCAATGTTGCACTGCTACCAAGTAGTTTGTGCTGGGGGGGTTGGAGCTGGGTGGGCTATGGGAGTATGCAAGCAACCGGTGGAATGGAACCGTTCATGTATGGAATACCGACAGTCCCAGATAACATGTGGTGCGTCTGTCATATCTTACTCATGGGATAGGTTTGATGAACGGACCCTTCAATGTCAGCCCAAGGTGATTTTCTGATACCAGCATATCTGAAGAAGCCCAGCCGTTTTTTCCGTCAACATGCAAGTTAGGGTCCAGCACAATGCTTTGGCGTATGCCGCGTAGTTGTACCGGTGCATTAGTCTATGCAAGACCGGCTCATGGCTAACCTGGTACCGCTTTTGGCGTCACCACTAATGGCCGTTATCTCCGCAATGCCTAACTCACCATTGGCTCAGACGGATGGACAGTCAGTTGGTTCAACGACCAACAACCAGAACAGCAGGGGACTGAAACCGATGCGTAGTACTTAGTAATTCTTGACTCGAGGTCTCGGGTATCTGTGTTTACTCCGTACTCCACCCAATGTCCTCTTCCAGGGGACGTAAAGTTTTTCTTTTGTCTGTATTTCTTTTTTCATAATCTATCCACATTTATGACCATCTTATATCATTGATAACAGGTTTTTAGAGCCTTCCTTCAGGCCACGTTGTTTGAATAGTTAATACTTGCTATATGGAGTAGGGAAAAAAGAGTTTATTTTGTTTCAGACAGGGAAAAAGCTGATGTATTATGTTGACCGGGTAAGATCTTCTCCATGACTTGCGGGATATCGAACTTGCCGACCAACTGATAGAACTCCACTTACGGTACTAGGAGGAGTGGGTCATCAGGCACTTAT